AATACTTTATCAAAAAATCCAATTAAAATAATAGAATCCTAAAGTAATTCAAAATCTTAAACAAAAAAAAGCTGTTTTTAAAAATACTTTCAAAAGTTTTTAAGTAAATAAAAATCTCAAAGTAAATAAAAATGCACAAGTTGATTAATTGATCAAGTGATTTTAAAAATAGGTACTGTCAGAAATCACAAAAGTAAAATTACAAAATCCTAAAGTTAATAAAAATGCAAAGGCTGATCAATATTTTAAAAAATTACAATAGTAAAATAAAAAATCCTACTGTCAAAAATCACAAAAGTAAAATCACAAAATCTTAAAGTAAATAAAAATGCACAGGTTGATAAATTAAATATTAATATATAAGTAAAATAAAAAATCCTAAAGAAAATAAAAATTAAAAAGTGTATAAAAATGCAAATCTTGATGAATATTGATCAAGTGATTTTAAAAACCAAAGTAAAATAAAAAAAATTACAAAGTAATTAAAAATCTTTAAGTAAATAAAACATGGAAAACTGGTGATTTTGATTAGAATATATTCTAATTTTGATTAGAATCAAAATCACTTTCATAGTCTATAACATTTTCAGATGATACACTATTTCGGTCACTGTCATGAAATTCAGTATCCGGTTCATTTGTTTGTGATTCAATATTATTATTAGTTCTTAAAATTTTGCCAGAGTTCAATTTATTTTTTGTAGTTTGTTTTTCCGCATTTTTTTGCCGTTGTTTCGTAGCCCTAATAACCTCTTTGATGTTTAAAGGACCCTTTATTTGAGGGTCCTTCAAACGAATTAGACCTTTTTGCAGCAACTAAAATTAAAAATTACATTGATTATTTTATTTAAAAAAAATAGTAGGCACTTACGATATAGGGTATTGCAAATTTTTGTTTTTCTAAATTCAATTTTCCCTTTGGAACCATCCCAAGTGATATCCCAAGAAAAATTCAATTATGATGGAAAAATGCTTGTTATGATTTAATCTTTATATTTTTCACACTTACCTGAAATAACTGTTATTAATTTATACCTAACTATAATATCACGTGGGCACAACAAACACAATAGAAAAATAATACAATACAAACACAACCCGATTGCAGCAATGTAATAAGCAGTGATGCCAGATCTTTAGCGCTGAATATCCGTATTTGACCTAGTAGTATGGTGGGGATTAAGGAAAAAAATCCGTATAATTCCGTATTTTGTATTTTACACTTATTACGTAATTCTTTTTATCAATAATTAGACTAATTTAGGGGAAATTTAATTTCCATGTTGATGATTTATTTTTTAGAATAAAAAACGTAGTTTTAAGTCTTGAGCAAGAAGGCAATTCTTTTAATTATTTTTTTCTACTCCTATTAGGTATATGGAATATAACAGTTCTAATATCACTTTTTAATGTGGAATGACATATATTCCTTAGAGTATTACAGAATGAATTATTGATGATGATGATGACGGAATAAACACTGGTGGCGACATCTCTGTGTTTAATATCTAACAAATTTTAGATAAATCAAACTTCACTTTCTGCTAATTAAATTATTTTTTTATGGTACACGTTTGGAATTGCATATTCCGCTCGAGTGAAAAGTTTGTCACACGAGCCGAAGTTAAGAAATATTTTTTTTCTTCTATTTGTTCATATATATATATACTCCAGTTAAATAGTTTCAAATTTTAGAGAATGAAATGCAGTACTCAAATTAATTAATTAATTTACAGATAACTGTATTTAGTTCAGTCTTGTGGATAAGGAGCATTCCACGTTACTCGGTAATTTTTGTCCCGCCCGTCACAATTAAAAATTGTGAGTAAAAACCACAAGTTATAAAATTATTATTTTATAATAATATTTTTATTGTGCTTATAACTTATTAAAAGCATAATAAAACAATATTTTTAAATAAATTTTATAACGTGTAGTTTTTACTCACAATTTTTAATTGTGACGGGCGGGACAAAAATCCCCGAGTAACGTGGAATGACCCATAAGTAAAACCGGAAAAAAAATATTTTTAACCTAAAAATATTTTGGGAAAAATCACCCCAAAGAACGAAAGGCTGTAACTACAGAGTTGGCGATAATTTAGGTATAAAATTTGGATTTGTTATAAATCCGTATAAAATCCGTATTGCCCCCAAAATCCGTATAAAAATCCGTATATTTTCCCAATACACTCGAAATTCCGTAGAATACGGAAAAATCCGTATATCTGGCATCACTGGTAATAAGGTTATGTTTTTGTCGAATTACCGCGTTGACCGTTTACGCGCGAATTTTCAAATTTGAATGTATATATATATATACAGGGTGTTATGTAATTAATGTTATATATTAAAATGGGTTGTTCCTTAGGGTCCATAAAGAAGCACCTGAAACTTTTTTTTCTAAATTCCAAAGTCTAAAAATAATTTATAATAACCTTTAGCCTACCAAAAACTACGCTACTGATCAACTAGCAACTTTAGGCTATTCTGGTTGCCTAATTTAATTTATTATGTTGGTAACAACAGTGTTTTCAAAATCTGTCAAAGAAGTTGACAAACATTGTTTAAATTTAGCTTAATTAAAAAAATGACAAAATTAACAATGCAAATTGTCAATTTGGCGTTTTTATTAATTGTTGGTTATGTCAATTTTGTACTGAAGGTAAATTCAAACAAAATCTGCCAACTTTTATGACATAATCTAGTGCATTTCTTTCAAATTTTAGGTTATGTGCTCAAATTGTAAATATCTTAACTAAGGGAAGTGCTTTTGGATTTATTTACACAAATTAAATGTTTAAAGTTTAACCTGTGAACTGGTCCCAATTTCATCTGAGTAAACAGAAAGAAAAAAACTGATGAAAAAATTTAAAATATTTAGTATATACAGTGTTACCCATTTGTTTGCGACTCACCCCTGTAAAATCTTTATCTATTGTGCGATTTTAACCGGATTTGTTTTAACGTGTAGATCTTGATAAACTGTATTTTGAAGAAAAAAACCATATTGTTACAAAATACAAGGCCCACTATGTCAGTTTTTAAGAGTAAATTTTTAAGAATTCATAATAGCGATTTTTTTAAACAAAATCTAAGCACGGCACTGGATTCACCACCCCTCAAAACGACCCTATAGGTACTAAATTTTATTGAAAAATTTTAAGAAAAAAATGCACAATAATAACCACAAAAATTTATTTTGTCAATTAATCCATGAAAAAAACATTAAAATATAATTAAACTAATAATAACATGATACTATTACTATAAGTTTAATTTTATTTCAATGTTTTTTTCATGGATAACTTGACAGAATAAATTTTTGTTGTTATTATTTTGTATTTTTCTACTATTTTTCAATAAAATTTAGAAAAGGGTCGTTATAAGGGGTGGTAAATCCACTGCAGTGCCGTGCTTAAATTTTGTTTAAAAAAATCGCTAATATGAATTCTTAAAAATTTACTCTTAAAACTGACATAGTATACTATAGGCCTTGTATTTTGTACTAATATGGCGTCTTATGCTCCAAAAATACAGTTTACCAAGATCTACACTTAAAAACAAATCCGGTTAAAATCGCACAATAAATAAGTATTTTATAGGGGTGAGTCGCAAACACTGTATATATACATATATATAAATAAAAATAAAGTTGATGCATGTCGTTTTAATTGAACTTGCCTAGTGAAACAATGCAAATTGCAATTTTACGTTATTTCATTATTATTGATTGTATCATTTTTGTAATTATAAGGTGAATAAAAACGAAATCTACTGTTTTTTTGATAGAATCTGGCATCACTGCCGATAAGCACAGTGTAAGAGAACATTGATCACGTCGTGCGCTCATACTGCGCTCATCGCGTGGGCGCGCACGGCTATGCTACTGATATGCGTGTGAAATCGACCGCACGTGTGCGTTCTCACGCCGTGCGACCTACGTGCGACGCACGATTGCTATCTGGGTATACACACAATCCTAAGAGAAAACAACTCAAAAACTCTAAAAACCATACTTAAATTCATGGATGAAATGAAAATTAAATTTTAACTTCTTTGGTTTACCGTTATCAATCCTTTCCTAAAAATTCTATCCTGGGATCCGATGCAACATTTCAGGTTGTGTAAGTCGCTTGGCTGTTGCCCCTATAGGCTTATAAGCGTATACGCCTTTATAAAGGGTCTTGTCCTTTGTAAAAAAAAACAAAAAACAAAAAAAAACAAAATTCATATACATGAATAAAAAAAAAGCCCTAAACCAACTAATGCAAAAATCCCTCTTGAAGGCATGGATAGTTCCAGATCCACTTAACTGGGGGCCTTCAAGAATAATTGGAACAAATCAACATCATGAGCTGGCCAAATAGCTTTCAAATTAGCTAAAGGCCAATAAATTTTAACGAAGAATAAGAAAACCCGTTGTGCTGTTTAAAGATTCCCGTACGGGTATCTATAAATGACACTACGATTTTCATATTGTTCATCTTTTACGGGAGGAAGGAAGGAAAGCAATCTATAAATCAGGCTTAAACTCTGATTCCTGACCGAGTACAATACGTCACGGCACGAATAAATCCGAGTCGTAAAATTTTCGATGGTTACCGTTCTAGGGTTAAACACCTTGTATCTCAATTGTCTTTGATTGTCTTTAAAATCTTAAATCACCTTCATTAATTAAATTACCAGATTCTGTCAAATAAAATCCGGACATTTTGTGTAAATTAAACTTAATTACAAAACTGACAACAATAATTAAGTAACGTCAACTTACAATTTGCATTGTATGATTATGTCAATTTTGTAATTAAGATAAATTCATACAAAATGTCCCGATTTTTTTTGACAAAATCTGGTAATTAATTTAATTTCAACAAATCATTAATTATTTTCTTTAATGTGTCGCATTATTTTAAGACCGCCATCTACCAGTCAATCGAACAACAAATTACCGACTCAGGCGTGTCAGTAAACCCACCAATCACCTTGGCACAATTTGCAGCCATCTTGACAGTAAGCTTGTGTGTGTATAATACAATAATTTTGATAAATTAAATTTTGTACATTTTATGTTCTGTGTTTTTAGTTATAACTTATAACTTATAAGCATAAAGAAGCATAGAGAAACAAACAGTGTTTGTTTGTGTCTCTATCGTAATAAGTCGATACTAAAAACCCGTCTGTGATTTAATTAAAGTACCTACTTAGATTAAATATGGGTCGCAAGAAGAAGAAGATGTCGAAGCCTTGGTGCTGGTATTGCAATAGAGAATTTGAGGACGAGAAAATTCTTATTCAACACCAAAAAGCCAAACACTTCAAGTGTCATATTTGTCATAAAAAATTGTACACTGGCCCTGGCTTGTCGATACATTGCATGCAGGTGCACAAGGAAACGATAGACAAAGTCCCAAATTCCATGCCAAACCGATCCAACATAGAAATAGAAATATACGGAATGGAAGGTAAATATTCCACTGATGTATTTATAGTTTTGTTAATTAATAGGCGTTTTCGGAAACCTACTCAGGGTTACTTACCTGGGGCCCAACCTTCAAGTGACCAGAACTTGCAGGTTACTTACTCGATCACTTAAGTAAGCATAAAGAACGGGTTACAAAATATGACAGTTCTTTTTTAAATTATCATACATCTTTCCATGACACTAAGTGAACTTTTAAATACACATTGATAAGTTGTGGCTTTATAGCATTTTAGTCATGGGCTGAAGTTAGTTGACAGTTCTCAAATGTCATACAATCGTTAAAATAAAGTGCCCTTGTAAAATAATATTAAATGTAAAAATTATTTTATTATCTCAACACAAAAATACAAAAGCATTAAATAGTTTTTCAGCGCCAATATTTGAAAAGTTTATATAAATATTTTACTGACCTTTTAATTTTGCCAGCAGTAAACTACATTAACTTCATTTTGAGTAAAGACTCCACTGTGGAGTGCCAATAACACATTTTCTTTACTTTCACTGTAAAAAACTCTTTTTATATCCTATTAAATGGTTTATTTTTAAGCGATACATTTTGTTTTACACAAAAAAATTTGACATTTGACATAAAACACATTTTCAAGTTGGTAATTCTATTGTTTCATAGATGTCCCTATATACAAATAATCAATTTAAATCATTTTTACATAATAATAATAATAATAAGTGTTTGTCATAGAAAAAGAATAGTATGCAACTTGTTTATAAACTTTTCTATGCACTCATTTAATCAAGCACTCGCTCGTGCCTAAATTAAATTCGTGTCTAAAATGGCGTTTATCAAACTTGATACATAATATACTATAAAATACTATTAAATACTTGAAAATTAGCATTGAGTGAAATAATAGTATATTATATATTATTAATAGTATATATAGAATAATGCGCATAATCTCTAGTGTAATACTATACTTTATCTACTATTACATAATATTTGATTTTTTCGGTGAATACTAAAAAAGGTGCATTTCACGTTACTGGGTAATTTTTGTCCCGCCCGTCACAATTAAAAATTGTGAGTAAAAACCACAAGTTATTAAATTAATATTTTATAATGTTATTTTTATTGTGCTTATAAGCTTATACAAGCATAATAAACAATATTTTAAAATAAATTTTATAACGTGTAGTTTATACTCACAATTTCTAATTGTGACCGGCGGGACAAAAATCCCCGAGTATCGTGGAATGACCCTAAACATTATAAATTCCCTGCCTAACAACGTGAATTATAAACTTATTATTCACGTTGTTAGGCATCAGTTATTGGCCGATTTCAATATTCACTGTGATTTGAACCAATCGGTTTTAAATTGGAAAAAGGCGACTATAATAACATTTAAAAATTGGTAAAAAGTAAGGTTAACCATTTGACAGATGTCGGATTTTATTTATTTAATTATCTACTTATTGGAGTAGATAAAGTATAGTATTATACTCGAGATTATGCGCATTATCTATTGTATAATAATATACTATTTTTTACAAGCGAGGGTATCTCTCAGTTTTCTTTATCCAACCCTATGACAATTAAACTCATTTGAAATTAAAATCTAACCTAAGAGTGACTAATTAATAATTGAATTATTCAGAATGAGATTTATTTTCTACTTGCTTCTGAACAAAGTGTGATGCAAAAAACAGTTATCTGTAAGTTAGAGACTGTAACAAATATTATTAAAAGAATTTAGTATTTCTTCTTAAAAATAACAGCCATTATGCCCCTGGGACGCCACTGGGATAAATAAATTAAATCCAAATACATCAAAAGCTGACCATTATTTAAATAAGCAAACACGAGGTTTGAAGAAAATCGGAATAATGTTTTTTAGATATTTTACACCCTGTAAAACTTACAGTTCAGATCAACTATTGATGTAGATGTGGTCCGTCAATCCCAATTGATCATAAACAGCGACAAATTGCAGATAAACATAAACTTCTCGACTTTTTGTTACATAGTGTAATATGTCAACACTATCTCGGGAACGGAGCGTTTCCGGATATTATGAAGTTTTTTCTTATTTTTAAGAAATCTCATCCTAAATTATTTCGCAATATTAAAAATTACCCTGTACCTACTTATTTAAAGTTAAAGATCTTAAACAATAAAAAAGTTAAAGTTAAGAAAAGTTAAAATACTAAACTGGATAGAAAAAAATGTCAAGTTAAGCTGGATTTAACTGGCTTAAGATTTAATTTAAAATATCTGAAGCTGAAAATTACTATTTTAAAATGTTAGTAAATAAAAGCTCAATATATGCTGTCCAAATTTTAAGAGACTAAAATATATCTGACAACCATATCAGTAGGATAATGTTTTTAAAATTAAACTAAGCTTTATTTATTAATACCTTTTTTCATATTTGTAATGATAGTTAGGTAGAAGACAAATCAGTTGATTTCTGAAGATATATTTAAGCTATTAACTTTTTTAAAACCATATATAAGGGATATTATATTTACTGGAAGTTATACGTTTTTAGATTCACAATTTATTAATCAATTTTTTTACCCCAGAAATCTACTTGTATATGTGAGTAAATAAACTCATTTTTGGTAAAGAATGCACCCAAGGTGGAGATTTCATTTATTAACTTACAGTGTGGCAAGTTTATTAAATATTCCACGATCTATATTTAGCTGCGTTTATGTGTAACGGAAACTAATTTTAAATTCGGTGCTCCCGTATTTTTAACTTGCTTATTACATGAGAGTGTGGTGCTGAACTCGAAAAATGTTTTTCTTTCAAGGCATACCACCGAATGATCTCAGGGAACACGAAAAACAAAAACAGGGCGCGAGGGGTAACGATTCGGGTTCCGATGACGATGAGCCTACGAATAAGAAGATCAAACAGGAGGGATTGTTGGGAAATGCTCCCGGAATGATGCAAACTATGCCCGGTTTGATGCAAGGGATGATGCCACCTCCAGGAATGCCCCCTGGAATGCAAATGGGGCACATGATGCATATGGGACACCCTTTTCATATGCACCCTGGGTAAGTACATTTTTTACATTATCTTTTTACTCCCATATTTACAATACACATTAACAAGCTGTGACTTTTAGTCACGGTATAAACTTATCAACAACGGGTTTCGTTTTTTTTAATCATGGGCACGTTGGCTTTCAGTTAGTTGTTAATTGTCATACAATCTGTTTCAAAGTAAACTTCTCTAGACACTCGTTTATTAAACAATTGCTCTGCCTAATTAACACCCTTGACTAAAATGCTGTTTATACTTATTGTACAATAATATTAAACAATTTTTTTTTAAATCATTAATTTAAAAATTATTAAAACTTGACAATTGTCACAAGGTTGGCCTATTTTTCTGTCAAGATCATGTATCTGAGTTGGTTTGTTTTCATAGCAATCTTAATTTATTATTCGTTATAAATAATTATTAAAACCTTCAGATTGTTTTATAAAATAATTAATTTACATTTCCTATATTCCCTGGTTTTATATACATATTACAATTCCCCTATATTATAAGGTTCAGTGTTTTATAAATTTTATTTGATATAATAGTATATTATGTAGCAAGTTTTATAAACGCCATTTTAGTTGCGAGTTTTATTAGGTACGAGCGATGCTTGCGAGCGAGTCTTTAATAAAAACGAGTGTCTAGAGAAGTATAAAACGAGTACGGATACTATACTTTATCTACGACGAACAGAAATAAGAATTTAAAGCCAATTTTAATTCATAAATATTTGACATTTGGCAAATTTAACCTCACTTTTTCGCAATTTATAATAAACCTAACTAAAATGCCCAAAAGCCACTGTTGCTAACTTTATCAACGCCATAAAGTCACAGCTTGTCAATGTTGGAGTAGATAAAATTATGTTTGAGTTTTTATTTTAATAAATAAAAAATATGCTGTTGAAGACCGTATTTTTGTTAGTATACCCTTAAAATTTTGTACAAATCAAATGAACAGTAACGAAGATACAGTGCTTCAAAGTCGGTAAAAATTACCCCTGTTTAATTATTTTTCTGAAAAGTGGTCTTTTTTGACGACTTTGAAGCACTGGATTTTTGTTACTGTTCGTTTGATTTGTACAATATTTTTAGGGTATACTAACAAAAATACGGTCTTTCACAGCAAATTTTTTATGTAGGTACTTTAAAACAAATTTCCGTATAAAAAATTTTTTTTAAGCGTTTTTTATTATTAAATTAAAGGGCTTTAAGGATATTTTCAAGAAAAAACTTGAACGCGTAAACTGAGATATAAGTTAAAGTATTGGTAAAGGCGTTTTAGAGTGGGATTTTTTTTTACAGTGTATAAGGGGTTACAGAATATTCATTTTTCACCGGTTTCATAATAATAATAATTAGGAATAATTGGGTAGTTTTTGTATTATAACATAATATGTTCTAATTCTAATTCATATTAATACAAAATCTACAAAAAATCAACTTAACTTGAGACTTTTGCGAACTTTTTGTTTGATTAAAACAAATCTGATTTTTTTTTTTAATATTACCAACCCTGATATTTTTAGAATGCAAATGATGGGAGCACCTCCACATATGATGCACATGCAAGGTCAAGCAGGGCCCCCAAAACCTCTTTTCCCCAGTGCCATTCCTACCTCTTCACCAGGGGCCCCCATTGTAGGGGCTGACTTTAAACCAATTTCATCAGGTATGTAAAAAACTCCTCTTTTTAGTTCATTTGTAAAAGATTGTATCATGGATTATACAAAAAATTGCAAAGACTACTAGTTGAGGTAAAATATCCATTTTCATTAGGTGCCACGATAAGCGCGCCTCCAACGACAAACACTCCAAGTAGCAGTAGCAGCGACACGTCAAAAGTCGCGACGATCGTAACTTCTGGAGGCGCGAGCAAAATCGTTCATCCAAACGAAGATATTTCTTTGGAGGAGATCAGATCGAGGCATCCTAGATATGCTAGAAGTTCGAAACAGGATGACACTGCGTCAAACGCGTCCAGTAATGCTGCCTCGGAGGTAAGTTTCTAATAATTTTGCTAATAAATTTGTTAAATTTGAAATTTGGGTGTTGGTTGGATTTTTCTATTTTACCGACAAAACATTTTAGTTTTAATACCTATTTTCGCGGAGCTAATCCCGAACTAATTCCGGACATCCTAGGCATGAGCTTTTTAAAATTTCGCGTTCAAATTGTAAAGTGCGCATGCCTAGGATGTACGAACTAGTTCGGGATTATCACCGCGAAATCACCTAATAATTTATGACAACCACAAAATATTTAAGTTTAGTTATAACCCAAATCAACAACATATTTTTTTGTATCCTTAATGGAAAACAGCCATTTGATCAGCTAGAATTCAATAAAGAAATGTTTTATTTTACTAATTTCCAACACTTTAATGGTTAGAAACATTTTAATAGTTAGCAACATTTGACTCGTTAGCAACACAAATCTGACATTTAACAAAATGATTCACAATTTTTATCTTCATAAATATTAAATGTACAATTAGATAATAAAATTCCATTTGTACTTTTGGAAAATTCGTTTAATGACACATCTATGATAGTTGAACTTGATGAGGATAAGTGCTGCCAAGAGTCATCCTTTGCTGTTGATTGGAGCCTGTAAAATTTTTATTTTGAATGCTTTCTCCTATATAACCCTCAGCAGAAGATGTTGAAGACCATCCCCCAGTATTTTCAAATCAGGGATACTGCCCCCATTATAAACCAACATGGAATCATTAAGCTTCAATATTCAGCAATTTTTCTCGGCAAACTATAAAATGTGTTGATCCCCACCGGTTGCACAGTGCATTTACCATTCCGGTAACAAACGAAAAATCTGGAATGATTCGTGTTTTGTGGCCTCAATTCCGTTCGCTTACGGTAAAAACTCGCTTATTTTTCGTTTTTGTATTACTTAGTGTTACGATAATAACTGATTTATTCTCTTCAATATCGAAAATTGTTAGTATTAACAATTCTTCCTCAGCATTGCTACATGCAAATTAATATGAGGCGCCGTTTGTCCGTAAATTATTTTTGCTATATATAAGAATATTTTTTATACAGGGTGTTATGTAATTAATGTTATATATTAAAATGGGTTGTTCCTTAGGGCCCATAAAGAAGCACCTGAAACTTTTTTTCTAAATTCCAAAGTCTAAAAATAATTTATAATAACCTTTATCCTACCAAAAAGTACGCCACTGATCGACTAGGAACTTTAGGTTAATCTGGTGGATTTATTATGTTATGGTTGGTAACCACAGTTTTTCCAAAATCTCTCAAAAAAGTTGACAAACATTGTTTAAATTTAGCTTAATTACAACAATGACAAAATTAACAATGCAAATTGTCAATTTGGCGTTTTTATTAATTGTTGGTTATTTCATTTTTGTACTGAAGGTAAATTCAAACAAAATCTGCCAACTTTTATGACAGAATCTAGTGCATTTCTTTTAAATTTCATGTTATGTTTTCAAATTGTAAATATCTTAAATAAGGGAAGTGCTTTTGGATTTATTTACACAAATTAAATGTTTAAAGTTTAACCTGTGAACTGGTCCCAATTTCATCTGAGTAAACAGAGAAAAAAACTCATGAAAAAATTAATTTTGTGTTTCAAAGGTACTAAATTTTCTAATCATTGCTTAAGCTAATAGCTGGATCAGTAAATAAATACAGAAGGGTATTAGAGCTTTAAGGGCATAAAACTTTTGTATTTATTGAGTTTTTATTTATTTTTTGCAAGAAAAATTTTTAGTAACAATTTTTTACATCTGGCAACGCATAGCTACTTTGTTGGTTGGTATCTATGTACTCACAAAATACAGGTGTGCAGAGATAAACAAGTGTGTAACCAGTGGCGTATCACAAAAAATATAAAAAACTTCTAATGCATATTTTTTCTTTATCTTTGGAAAAATGTTTTTTTAAATATTTTTCCTTTATTCCTTATGTCAAAAGGTATTCAGTATACACCCTGTATATAAACTTTGCAGTCATCAACTAAAAAGCACTGTTGCCAGAGTGTGCCAATGCAAAATTTTGGTCAGTGCACTGACTAAAACATGTTTCCAACATAACGGATTATTCGCCAGATCTAGCGGAACAAAATGATAGCAAAAAGTATAGGATTTTAGTTTTTTTAATACTTATAGGTAATATATTGGTCGGTTGGTCTATTTTTATTGAAGAGAAAATTTCTTTCCTTTGGCCGTCTCTATTTCTGTAAATAAACACAGCTTCGGTTTTACTAATACGTAATTAAAATAACTAAAATTTCTTACGTTTTGCTTCTCTTGTCAATTTATAAAAAAACAAAGAATTTTTTTTTATACTTGGACTCTTACAAATTAAATTGAGGCGTTTCTCGGAAAAACATCATTAGTCCAATATCGTCGAAATTTAGATATTAGCACCAACTGTTTCCTAACCTCCATATATACGTATACACATAAGTGTTTCTCGTAAAAATGTCATAGGTTCCATAATAATTAAATATGAAATTTAGCTTGTTCTTCTAAAAACATCACAAGTCCACTCCGTTTCGTCTAAGAAAGTCACATGTGCATAACATGTGACGTTTTTGGACACTCTAGAAAAGCTTCTACCTCTTTTACATGACCACAGCAATAGAAAATTTTATGATAACTTGATAAAAGACCAGAAGACCATAGCACCTGACAGTCCTGATAACACGGTCGACAACGCAGCAGTTGTGCGAAGACTGAGTGTGGCAGTAATACAGTTTTTAGTTTTTTCATTTATTTTGTTACTCAAAGTTAATATTTAGTTTGTAGTAAGGAAAATTGTTCGTTTTTTTCTTCTAAAACCTCACATATTCATGTATTTTTTGTGTTTTTTTCATATTCGTCGAAACAAAAAACATGAGGAATTCTGGATAAAGTATCTTACATTTTTTTACACGTAGTAAATATGTCAATAAAGTACTTTTTTTCCTCGACCTTTATTAAAATCTGCCAGATCTGGCGAAACGTTATGTTGGAAACACTGACCAAAACTTTGCATTGGCACACTCTGGCAACAGTGCTTTTTAGTTGAATACCACAAAGCGCCCTCATTCTCAAGCGGCATTATCTGAACTAAAAAGTTTCTATATATATAGGAAATTTAAAGTTTATATATAAAAAATATTCTTATATATTGCAAAAATAATTTACGGACAAACGGCGCCTCATAAATTAATACCACTTTCATAAATAGATACGATTAATTCAAAGCGTCATTTAGAAACTTCATAATTTGTTCAATTGACAACACTTTTGACTTTTAAGGTTCATATCCTTCATTTTGTTTTTTAAAAAAATGCAATTAATTGCTTGTATTTGGAAATGTCACTGCCTTCATATATTTGCAACGTACTCTTAAGCATCATATGTTGACCACAGTGACCATGCCTGATTTGTGGACTAAAAATACAAGAAAGCATTAGCTTCTTACCTTCCCCAAAAAACAAAAAAACGCTAGATTGTTTCTCCAATGACAGAATTGTTTTATCATATTTTTCTTTTGACTTAGATGGAAGCAGATTTTAAGTCGCTTCTCTCGCGGCTTCCGAAATACCCTCATTTTCTTCAAAAACACTCATCTTCCGACAAAATTCTGTTTTTATTTCATTTGTTGTCATGCATTGCTATGGTTTACTTTTCATAAGCAACTACTAAGTTTTCCACTTTTTCCATTAAGGATACAAAAAAATAGCATGTTAAACTCGTAAGAAAAGTTCGTTTTCCAGCTCGCGAAACCAACCTTTTTTACTCACTGAAAAACTCCCACTTTTCTTTACTTGTAGAACAATCTACTATTACCTTCGCTATTACCTTGTTATTACATTAGCTTCTCGTCATTTTGTTGTTACATTTGCAACTTGGTTTTCCACATTTAATTTATCATGGATCTGTTCATTTTTGTCTGAATTTGAACTGAAAATTTACATGTCTCATCAAAAACTAATTTATTATTAATATCTCAGCTGGCCATAGCGGTGTCTGCCGCCCAACAGGCCGCCGTGCACCAGGCCAAGCAGCAAGAGGCCATCGCGTCGATGAACCACGCCATGATGCAACGGTTTCCCGTCCGAGTGTCGGGCCCGCCTCTCACGATGGCGGCGCTGCAAGGCGGTCAAACGGTCATGGCGCCGGTGCGACACCACGCGATGATTCCGGGCCCGCCGACGCTGATCGGCGGCCATCTGATGCGACCGCCTCACCTAGGCATGAACATGCCGCCAGGTATGTGACTAGATTTACGGGGGGGTGGGAAATAAAACTGCCGCCGCGACCAGGATTCTCCCAAATAAACCCGCCTAAACAAAATATTTCATCGGTATTTGCAGAAAGGGTACAGACATGTTTTTAACGATTTCGAAATTTTATTAAAACTCGGAAATGGCTCGACCGATTTAAATATTTTTTTTGTTCGCCTCAATACAGAGGTTATTTTAATAAAAATACTTTAGCAGGGTTCCCGTTTATCAAAAAAATTTTAAATATAAAAATGGTTTAATTGTCCTAAAATTTCATAAAATTCACATTTTGTCATAGAAATCATAAAATTTCATTATTTTTTTTAACAACTTTCTCACCTTTGCTCTTTTTTATAAAATGGAAATTTTGTAAAATAAAATTTAAAGCCGGTCCTGTAGAATAAAACGCAATAAAATATTTTGAATACGGCCTTGATTGTTAACTATGAAGCGCCGTTTGGGCCAAAATAGAATTGTATGTAATATATATATTTTTCTGAAAAATCCGTGATATATAAAAAAATTTACTCACGATATATAAAATATTCAGCGCCGTTTAGGCCAAAATAGAATTTTATGTAATATATAAAACAATTTGCTCTTGCTATATGAAATATTCGCGATGAATGATATGTGATATTTATGTTATCATAATCTTAAAAAATGCGTGATATATAAAATGTTTTTACTCGATATATAAAATGTTTTCTCTCGATATATAAAATTCAGCTTACAAGAAACGTCGTGTTATAATGAGGGCGCTTCAATGATAGTTCATTGGCGTACTTGCATTTTTTGTGTTTTCACAATTTTATTGTTTATAATACTGTTTAGTTTCGGTGTTTCTTTTGTATTTAGAGTTTTAAACCCGTTTTTTATTTTATTTCAATAGTGTATTTATGAAGCAACCATTTCCTTCGATTGCAAATTTGCCTGAATTTTAGGTTATGTTAGTTGAATTCTTATAAGAACTGTTTTTTTCTCAACAACTTATTGATTTTTTATATATCACGCATTTTCAGAAAAATATATATATTACATACAATTCTATTTTGGCCCAAACGGCACTTCATAGTTAACGTATGAACTTCATACCATGAAGAAAGACGAAGAATACTTATTAAGTTAGGTTAGGAAATTTGAAATAAATAATAAGAATAGTAAAGTTATTCGTTACTTTATAAAAGGAAGGCAAAAAGCGCAAACACAAAGGACTTGAAGAAATTGATAGTAGTTTGGCAAGTAAGGATGCAGAGTTAAAAATACCAAGAAATCTTATTTTTGAAGGAAATAAGAAATTATGGAAGTACCTTAACACTAAAGCCCGCTGCACAACAGCCCGGTAACGAGAACGGGAACGGGAACCTAAACGGTAAAGGTGGGAGAGACTCAGCAAACACTATCTATCAACAGTGGTTCTTAGTCTCTCCCACCTTTACTGTTCAGATTCCCGTTACCGGACTATTGTGCAGCTTAAGACTACTCTTAAAAAATCTGAAAATAGTATGTTGTTTTATTTATTTTGAGATGCACTTTTATTTATTTTAAGATTATAATACTTATTATACGAGGGTTGCCTTTTATATTTCGGGAATAGAGAAAACAAACAACAATTAATCATCGTACATGGCTTTATTGTTTTTTAAAATATTCTCTATGAAGATCGACACACTTTTGCATGCACTTGAACCAATTTTCGAAGCATTTTTTTCACTCCAATTGAGGCACCTCCAAAACATGCATTTTGAACGCATCAACCGCTTCTAAAGACCCACACAGTCGACTGCTGTTTACTTTCAGGTTCATACGCATAGATCCATGATTCGTCACCTGATACAATGTCATGAACATATTTTGAATCACCGCCATCGTATTTTTTAAGCATTTCTTTTGACCACTAGACCCGAGACCTTTTTTGATCGATTCTCAAATTATGTGGGATCCAACGGTAACAATTTTTTCTGAAGGCCAAATGTTCATTTAATATTGAATGTATGCTGGTCCCACTAATGCCCAAGGATGACCCAATCTCACGATATGCCACATGATGATCTTGCATTACCCGTTCACGCACAGCATCAATATTTTTTGCAAGAACGAGTGATTTTGGACGACCTTCACGAAATTCGTCGGTGAGCGAACCACGGCCACGATTAAATTCGGAACACCACCGATATTCACTTGTTTTTTATGGCACTTTGTCGCCAAAAGTCAAATTAAGTTCATCGATGCATTATTGTTGGGATAATCCACGTTAAAGTTGTAAAAATTATAGCACGAAAATGTTCACGGGTCAATTCCATTTTTTTGGCCGACATTAATTTTTCAAGTGACTGTTAATAATACTAATTGCGCCCGCACGTCAAAACGTGTTAAGTAAGAACACCGTCTAAAAGGTTGAACTTAACGATACAGACATCTGTTGTCCGATAGCATCAGCAGGTTCGGCCATTCCCGAAATATAAAAGGCAACCCTCGTAGTAAGATACTAAAGTAACAAATATTAAAAATATAATAGAAAAAATATTTATTTTGATGCGAGGAAAAATATAATATAATAATATAGTAAACCGTTAAAAAAATACATATTTTTTATTAAAATAACTTTAGAACATATAAATTCTTGTCATAAAAAGTTTAATAAAATTTGAAAAATTTGTCATAAAACCATAAAAAACCACAAATCCATTAATTCATTAATTTTTGTTCGCCTCAATAAAGGGGTTGTTTTGAAAAAAAAAACATTAGGAAAAACCGAAAGAAACAGCTGGAAAATCGAAAATATCAAAATTCTTGCAACTTTGATTATGTACTAAATAAGGTACACGTTAAACCCCATTGCGCACCTATATGATGTGCCCTTTTGCTATTCGCAGTGTGCAAAATTAAGCGTGGCTTTCAAAATCACTTTGTTTTTTTTTTTATTATAGCCCAATTTTAAAAGTAATCGATCCCAAACCTTACGTTATTCAAACATAACCGAATGGACGATTTTTTAAGGTACTACACTTTTTTCAATGAGCCAGTTTGTTCTACCCTAGATTTGTAGGTACATTTATCCTCCGTAGTTTTTTTTTTTAATTATTTTTATTGCAAGTGCCCCACAAAAATTAAATTTTTGAAAAAAGAACCCCCTGTACATTGAAAAGCAGTAACTTTTGAAAAAAGTCTAGTACCTCAAAAAATCCTCCATTCGGTTATGTTTGATTACCGTAAGGTTTGGGATCGATTACTTTTAAAAATTGGGCTATAATAAAAGAAACAAAAAAGTGATTTTGAAAGCGACGCTCAACTTTGCATACTGCGCATAGCAAAAGCAATGGGGTTTAACGTGTGCCTTATTTAGTACATAATCAAAAGTATTAAAGGTCAAATTCTGAAAAAATGTACGGTTAGCAAGTTATGAGCCAAAAAGCAAAAAAACTCCCCTTTCGGGGGATGACATTAAGGGTCGCGAAAAGAAATTTTTGGGGAATATTCTTGATTCATTATCTGACTCTACATAAAAAAAATAAAACCCGACTACCATCGAGTTTTCCTTCTACAATCTTTGTTTCCTGAACTATTGTGTGTAATCCCTCTTTTTAGTTTTGGCGCCAAATTCAAATAGCTCGAACATTTATTTATAAGCGCTGAAGCATTAATAAGCGCTTTTGAAAGTGCTTATTCTTCTACAACGAAAAGTCATATAAAAATTAAGTACCCTTTTTTTTTCGTTACTTACCTACTCTTGTGTAGCTGTTTAATCCATGGATCGGAAAATAAATATCGCAAAAAAAAACAAAACCAAAAAATATAATATTAAAATTTTGACATAAAATTGTGTGTTTTTGGAAGGTGATACAAGTTTGACGTGGCTCGACTAGTGCCCAGGTACTTCTAATCACGCACTATGTGTTGGCATGTTTGCATATTATTGTCACTTTGCTTAGTTTGCCAGCGGTATTTTTTAACCATTGACGTTTGGGCCGAACAAAAGCGAACACCACTTTAAAAAGTTCTATAACCAAAATGTTAATTGTCAAATCGTTCAATAAAGAAAAAAGTATTTTTGCATGTACAAAGTTTGAAACATTGTTTAATATTTCTTTTTACCCTTAAAATTATTGTTAACTTCTAAAATTAATAATATTTAACCACATATTTAGAGAACTATATCGCACAAGTGAGAGGTCCGACCATTTTAACACTCCCAATAAAGCAGAACTTATACTAAAATTATTTGCAGCATTTTTTTAAAGAAAATAAACGTCATTATACTTGGTTAACTTAAACACATTGAGTTTTTAAATAATCTGTGGAAAATCAAATAAAACACATCCTCTAGATATGAAAGTATTGTAGTGTGACTTGACCCTAAACATATTGTTTACAATCATATTTACTTATGTATCATGTGCACAGGAAATGATCATGTGTATGGAATTTTGTAATTAATTGTTTACACTTGTCAACATAAAAGTTAAACAATCTGAAACTCCCTAGATCAGTTCTTCCATGAGGCTGCCGATTCTATTTTTTAATACAAGTCTCAGTGGAATACGAAAAGCTACAAATGCGATGTAGTTCTTTAAATATGTACATTTAACTATATTATTTGTAGTAGAAATTTTAAATATTTATTATTTTTAATAAAAACAAGTTTTAAAGTGGTGTTTCTTGGTTCATTAAATATTTATAAGGTCTATGGTTTTCTTGTAATTTGATTGATAATTATTGATTGCATTATTTACCATCTGACTGTGTATTTAATAAATACCATTTATATTATTACATACCATGTTAGAAATGTTTACATAATCACAAATCATTTAAAAAAGGTAACAAAAAATTCTCCCTAAATGAATTTTGAGTATTCTCTGTTGTCCTAAATAAAACCTCTAAAACATCTATGTTGTAAGTTTGCATTTTTCTTTATTTTTCTACAAATGGAATGTCATTTTGTGTTCATATGAAAAACTAGCCCAAAAACTTACAATTTGGACGAATAAAAAGTAAACCTAGTGAACTTTAGATGAACTAAATTCTTCCTGTTAGTATTATTATTTTAAATGATAAATTACAGACACTTGTAATGTGTGGTGTGTTTGGTAGTATTTTTACTTAGCTGTGTGTCTATATTTTATCATTGTTTTTAGAGGTTGTAGTTAGCTAATGACAGGAAATTCGTGCTACCCTAAATATCGTCCATGTTAATTTGGGGTATTTTAATAGAACCATTTTTAAAAACCTTTTTAAACCTCTTAAAGCTTAAAGGGGAAGACGTGGGCGTATCTTCTTTTACCATATGATTTTTTGTAGCATTCCCATGTAGACCCGAAAGTCTGAAACCAAGATAATTACTGGAGTCAGATTATATTTTCTTAGTCAACAAATTGTTTATAACAACCTAAAAAATTGACCCCATTAAATTTTGAACAATGACAGATGACGTGGTAACCATAGATACCGTGAACTCACCCGTCACAGGTTTACTGGTACAAATTAAAATTTAAAATTTTAGAAATTGTTAAATATCTCTGAAATTATTAACTTTAGGTATAGGGAATAGTAACATCAATCGAAAGGTTTTTTAATTTACTATTTGATAATGTAAAAACATAGGGTAAAGTGGGGGAATGACGACCAGCGGGTAATAACGATCAGCAAAAGTTTCATAGTAAGGTAATATTTATGTACAATATTTTAGTAGCGTCACCTAGCCTTTAGTAGCCTAACCTAACCAAAACAGTCGGTAACCAGAAATTCTACATTGGCTTCAGTCAATTCGTGTTTATTTAAAGCAGGGTAAATTCTTGTAATATTTTCAAGTATATAATTAGTTGTTTTGTTATTATTATTGAATACCTGTTAATTTTAGTTTGTTATGAATTTAATAAATTTTTTTGTAGCAACAAAATTCAAATGTCTTATAGCATCACAAGTCAAATATACCTGGTTGCGATTACCCAGCACTTAATCGTAATTACCCTGCACTTGGTCGTAATTACCCCGTTACGTGGAAAATGACGACCAAAAGCACTTTGTTAAGAATTTTTTTTTTTGGAAAAACTATTCAAGTTGTATTTCTGAATTGATGCATGAATAATCTTTAGACTTTAGTCTTTTTATTCCGATTTTCAAGAAGTAAAAATATTGGTTCAAAATTATTTTATGGTTAATTTTTCTTATGTGGTCGCCATTCCCCCTCTCTACCCTACCGGCGCGCATTTCAAAAAAGGAAATTAAGTTGCTTCACCCTGTATAAGCAGCAATTGTTACCAGATGCTTTTGTCTCTTAGGTAGGCATCAGATTTTTGTGTCATTTTTGCAATATTCCACTATATATTACTAGCAAAAATGTAAAAATTTAAAACTTATGGGAGGAGCCTAATTCTATTTTAAAATTTGCCATCTGGAGTTTCCCCATCATTTTAATTTGTGATGTTAACAGTCCCTACCAACGCTCCTAAAATTTGTCAAACACAAATATAGTACAGCATTGGCTAACAACCTCTAAATACAATGATTTAATTTGCTAGGCTTAATTATTAAAAATTATTTAAAAAATTGACGCTGGAAGGTAAGTAGTTTATGTTAGATTTGTACCTTAAAATGTCATCAAGTTTTAGACAGCCAAAAATTGGTGTTAAATTAATAAAATGTTATTTGTTAAAGAGATTATTTTTGGTATCTAAAAATTGAATAGGAAAATAATTATGCGTGAACACAGACAATACTTAGAATTATGTGGATAAATATTAGTCCATTTAAGTTTGAAATTTATTTCTTGGTGATGAATTCTGTTCAAATATATTACAAAATATATTTATCACAGTCCCTAACTTACTTACAATTTTTTTTTTAATTTAGGGAATTTGTCAATTAGTTTATATCTTTTCATAAAAATGCATTTTTGAGCTACAAAAGTAATTTTATTACAATAGCTTTAAAAAAGGACTATAAAATTAATTAAGTAAAAAAAATACCTAAAATACCAATTTTGTTATAAAAATAATATTTCACAAAAACGACTTCTTGGGCTTTAAAACCTATTTTTGCAATAATACTTTAATTACAACATGGTTAGATATACAGGTTTTTTTATTTAAAAATTTGGGGGTATAGTTGGCAAATTAGAGAAAAATAAATAACTAAAACAATCAAGCATAATTATTAATGACTTAACTTTAAAGAGAAAAGACATATCTAACCTAAAAATTGATATAATAAGGTGTATTACATACATGTTATTTTATTAATAATTATGCTTAATTGTTTTAGTTATTTATTTTTCTCCAATCACCTGTGGGAAAATCGTAATTACATGAAATTTTACTGATAAACAATTGAGAATTATCATTTATAAAAAGTTTGGTACGAAAATCCTGAAAAATTTCATTAAATGTAAACGCTTTATATCTCAACAAATATCAATCTTAGCGATTCAACTGATAGGATATTTTTTAAAGAAAATTAAATTTTCTACAAGTTTTTTACATTATTTCGATGAATCCAGTCACTTTTGAAATATCTTCAAAAATATGAGAATTTTTCACTAAAATAAGATTTAGTGACCCATACCATCCTACAGGTGCAGATTACAGCTATGGCATATAAAGCATTTTTGTAGAACTTTTGATTACGAGTTAATCCTTTTTTGAAACAATCCAATAGCATAAAATGCGACTGAGATATAAATATTTAAAAAAAATCAAAGGTTACGTGTATTTTAAATTGGAAATCTTTATACAGGAATTTTTTATTGAACATTTTCAACAAGATTTTGAGTTGGGAGCGAAAAAGAAAAAATAGTCGTGAAATATATTGGGTTCCTTTTTTTTTCACGACTATTTTTATTTTTTCGCTCCAAACTCAAAATCTTGTTGAAAATGTTCAATAAAAAATTCCCGTATAAAGATTTCCAATTTAAAATACACGTAACCTTTGATTTTTTTTTAAATATCTATATCTTAGTCGCATTTTATGCTATTGGATATATATTATATAAATATATATTATAATTCTGACAATTTTATTATAAATATAAAAGTATTTAAAATTATGGCATTGAACAGGAGTACCAATTTTAAATATTAAATATTAAAAATACTAAAGTATATTACCATTAACATAATCAAATCATTTGATTCAAATGTGTTAAATTCCGAACAAAAAAACAAACTGTACCTAAACATGTTGCAACCAAAGTAATTTTATAACATAAGTGCTATTTTGTCAGTAATAAATTGGACGCCCTTATACAAACGGGCCAATTATTTCCGTAAAAAGCTGTTTTATCTGGATATTCATAAAATCACATAAATATAACTACCATTTTTTAAATTCCCAAAATTAAAGAAAATGTGTGAGGGAGTTTAATAAATTGGCATGGGATTGTAATCTAGGGTATATAATAATTTAAATTGTACACATATTATGTTTACAATTTAAATTATTACCAAGCAAATAACCCTAAGAAAAAGTGTGCCATTATAAAATCTAATATTCAAACTTTTTGCCATAGGTATGATTGGAATGCCCCCAGGGATGATGTATGGGGCCCCGATGTTTCCGACCGGCCCCATGATGTTGCAGCCGAGGTTCAGATGATCTCCAGTGTACCTGGTTTACCACCCGCAAGTTTAAAACAAATAATTCTCTAATAATTATTATTACTATTATAACATACGCGAGATGTCGGCACTGGCCGCTAACGACACCTATCAGTCGTCAACTGTAAATAAGTTTTTAGACAGTTAAAATTGATCCCGTTGGCCCAAAGGCTTTGGGGGTTGTTACTATTTTGTGAGACTTTTGTTGTATTCATTTATAAATATTAACAAACAAACTTTAATGTTGCAAAATATATTTCCCCCCAAAAAAGTCAAAGTTTTCCGTCAGAAGCCGCCGGTGCCGTTTGATATTCTAACATTTTTCGACAAAAAAGTCAATTTTCACACCAATATTTAAGTCTACAAAAATTTCTATACAAAAGGCACTTTAATAATTAAAAAAAAAACAACTAAGCATATAGATCTTAGCAGCATGCTTTTGACTCTTTTTTTTTATTGACAGGTTATGAAAAATTGTACCGTTTAAAATACCTGCCAAAAATAAATGGTATGTAATATTTTTTCCGCCAAGTGCTCTAAGTATATTCCACGTTGTAAGGTTGGTGCCATTTTTAATCGAGCACGAATTTATATTAACTTAACACGTTGTTTATTGGACAATTGCCGGGTTTTAGTTATTTCTGTCAAAAAAGTATTTTTATTATCATTTTTTATTTTCATTAAAATGGTCCTTATAATTTAAGTCTTTACTTTCTATTGAAAGTGGTTAACAAATCAGAGCATTCTTGCAGTGCTCTGATTGGTTCATCACTTTTTATAGAAATTTCAAGAAACGGAATTAAATTTAAAAAATATGAATTTTTATTAATTAGGCAATATTTTTAACAATAAAAGTGATTCTAGATAATATTATTGTGCCAAATTATCTTTTATTGTTTTAATTTTTTGACTGAAATGCTAAAACTATCGACAACAGGTTTGTACAAATTACAATTATCCTAAAAAATTACTAAATTGATTTGATTTTTAACTTTGAACTTAAAAGGTAAGCAAATTTTGTTGACTATTCATTTTTTTTGTACATAATATAAAAAAAATCATTTAACTTATTTCCTTTTTAAATGTGTATCTGTTTGAAAAAAAATGATATAAAGGCTCCGTCTATAAAAATTTAGAAAAGGTAGGTTTTATATAGCAAATTTTTTTAACTACTATACATTCTATATTTGAATGAATAATAAAAAAAAAGATGCATCTAATATATTAATCGAGAGCTGCAGTTGTGTTTTTAATCTAAGGTACGGAGTTCTATTTATTTTACTTTTTTTTATTGAAATCTGGTGTATGGTGTAAATTGGACGAATTTTCATATTGGCACGACTTTAAGGGTACCCTTTAATAATATTTCTTGGAATTCGAATGTCATTTGGGTTTTATATGAGGTTTTTGGCAATTTTATTAGCAAACAAAACTGTAGAAAATACAGGGTGTTATGTTATTATTGATATATATTAAAATGGGTAAGTCCTTAGGGTCCATAAAAAAGCACCTGATACTTTTTTTTTATTTGAATAACCTCTATCCTACCCAAGTACGCCACTGATCGACCAGGAAAAGCAGATTAACCTTGTCTATTACTTTTAAATGCTGCGTTGTCAAATGTAAAATTAAAAAATGTTTTTCCAGCAAATGTACAAAATGATTTCCATTATTTAGAATGCAATCTTGAACTCTGCAAAGCATGCTTTTGCGCACTTGTAAAGTATTGTTAAGGAAAGTGCTTTTGGATTTATTTACACAAATTGAATGCTTAATGTTTAACTTGTAAACTTGACCTAATTTCATCAGAGTAAACATTAAAAAACGATAAAAAAATGAATTTTCTGGCAGTTGGTTAATGTTAAGTGTTTAGTGGTTATGGAGTTTTTAAAACTTTAATAATTAAGGTTAATTTTCTCTCAGTTTGAAGCTAATTTCATCCTATTTTCTGAAAATAATGTAATTCATTTATTTTTTGTGTCTAAAGCTCTAAATTTTAAACACAAAAGATACATATATTATATTATTTTTAGAGACGAAATTAGCCTAACACTGACTGAAAATTAACCTTAATTATTTCTATCCAAGTCACGTAGTTGGCCTTTACTGTGTGGAGCATAGTACCCATAGAACACAAGTGTGTAACCAGTGGCGTATCACAAAAAAACTAAAAAACTTCTAACGTATACTTTTTCTTTTGGAAAATACTTTGTTAAATATTTTTCTGTTACACCTTATGTCAAAAGGTATTCGGTATTTTAATAAATTACATAAAAACATAACACCCTGTATATTAATTTTATTATTTATATTGTTAACTTGTTTTATTACCGAAAACCCTGTATAAAACTAGTTATTGTGCAGGTATGAGAATTTAACAATATTAAAAAAAGGGACATGTAGAAAGGCAGGCGATTTTATGTCACAGCCATTGCTGTTGGATTAACATAGCCCCCTGTTTGGTCGCATGGTGATTGCAAAAATATTTAATACTACTAGAAAATGTTGCTTTATTTTTAGCCTTAAAAGTACAATGAAGCAGTTGTTAGTTGTTAGTAGTTCATATGAATTTAACGCAAAACACTATTTTATACCCTCTGCTTTTATATATATTTCTCTGTATTTTTTTGGCCGGAAGTAATCCAGGAATTTTCTGTATATACGTTCTGATTGCCCTGTAAAACATCCCCAACTTGTCAGCGATCATTGTGTGACTTTAAAACAGGTGATGTAAAATGTCACAGCAGTTTTTTTCGATCAAATAACACACAGGTTTAATTCGCTGTTGGGTTGTTGGTCCCCTGCCTGTAAAAAACCGGCTTGACAGGCGATTGGCGGCAAAATTCCGCCTATCACAGGTTTCAACCTGTTGGTCAAACAAAACACAAACTGGGTTTAGTAATGGATTGCGTGATTTTTGAAGTTTGTTTTTGACGACCCCTGTTTTACTGCTCTAAATGTATAACTCTATGTTCATAGTAGTTCTTTATTATTAATGTAACGTATTAGTTGTTTTTTATAAATAAAAAATTAATTTGGATTTTTTGGCTTTTATTGTTTTCCTTTCCCACTCCTAAGCCCTTATTTTTATGTTTTGGTGGTTTTAAAACCTACCTTAAAACTATGTAAGAAAAAATTGTTTCACAAAATATGCAGGAAAAAATCATATACAGGATGTCAAGTCAAGGACAGCAAAAGGGGCGGATAGAATATGGAGTTCTAAGTCGAATAGTCTTTGCCGTTTTTCGATCAGATGCACCATTAATTAGTTAATAAAATAAAGTAGCCAATCACAGGCGTGTTTTAGCAGAATGATAAGAGGTGGGAGAACTATAATGTGCAGCTTAATCTTAGAAATTTTATTTAAAATCGTATTGTGACCTTAATTATATAGTTGACATTGTCAGTGTTTTAGTTTTTAGGTTAGTTTTAACTTGAGACATTCTATTTTTTAGGGAAAATTGGTGGCCCTAAAAAGGGCCGTTTTTTAAATAGACTTCGGTCAAACTTTATATCATAAGATGCTTAAAGGTCCCTCCATTTTTCTGCAAGCACATTTCACAATGTTAAATGATTTTCGATCTGGCGTTTTCCAGCATTTCTGGTTATGTCGGCTTGCGACAATTAAATCCGTTCCAGAGTGTCGAGCTAATCTTCCAAGAAACAATCCAGAGGTGTTAAGTATGGTGATCTTGGGGCCATTGAAACGGGCTGTTCCTCCCAAACCAGCGTCGTGGGTATTTAGGTGATCTCGGACACGACCGGAGTAATAAGCCGGTTCACCGGTACTGAGGACGTTCTCGAGCAACCCTGAAAGAACCTCTTGCAAAAATGCCAAGTACGAGTTTTCCTAATAAATATTCAAAAAATTGTATGATCAACTCATGAAAACATAAATTGATCATTTTCTTTCTCTATATATATATTTTTTATCCACTACGTCCCGAGTACCATAAGCCTCTCCCTCAGTAATGGATTTGGTCTGATCCGATGTGGCTCTTTTAACTAGTAGATATATCTGTGTATACACGTAGAATTTCAAATCCTAAAACATCCACTAAATCGATTGCACAAATCACAAAATACCTCGCTGAAAGGTCAAAGCTTGCGATTTTGTCGAGAAACCGGGAACCCCATTTTATCCTTCCTGGGTCAAAGTCAACTATTTTCAGACTCGTGGGGCGTTTTTGGTAACTGATATTGTTAATGCCTTAATGGTAACCTCGGTGTATTAGAACTACTGTCACTCTTGGCAACACTGTATTGTTTTGGCGCCGAGAGAGAAGCAAAGAAGGTGTTCTGCAGCGAATGTTCACTTTTTCGGAAATTTTTGTAGTCGAAAGGGTAAAGGGAATTTTTGAAAAAATTATCAATAAAAATACTATAAAATATACATTTGGCATTTTTTTTTTAATATTTAAATACATTATTAGGGTGGTTCACAATTGCATAGAAAAAAAAATGTTGGTAAATCTTGCATAGCTTATTTTGTGATATATTTGATTATGTTATAATATTTTTGGACCAAATTTGAATCCTCTAGGTTGTCATTTACTGGTCGCTCAGAAGGTAAGTATCTGATATTGATAAATCAAAAAAAAAGTTGACCGCATCGTTCTATTTTTTACCTGAAATCATTTCCGTATTACTGGTGGAACCAGATTCTTCTGTACGTATTATTTAAGGGAAATGCAAAAACAACCACCTCAGAATTGGCCATCCGGTTTTCTTAGAATTTCGTGAGAAGTGTAAGAGAAGACTAATAATACTACCGAACATGGAATCAGTCTCATTCCAAAATACTGTCAAAGGACAAAGAAAAGATACAGTATAGTCGCAAATCATCGGAAACAGTTTCCTAAGCAATCACCCTTATGTCGTAGTTTTTAATTTTAGTGTTTTTCTAATTAAAAAAATTATCGGCTAGCTCTAAATTTTATTCGATTAAAAAAAATGTCATGGAATAAAAAAACTTGTAGAGAGAAAATATTTAAAACTTTCGGCTTTTACATTACATTGATATTTTTTATATTTATTAAAATTCAATGTAGTATCATCCATTAGCTATATTTTGTTTAATTTCGGGGGGGGGGGGGTTGGAATCCCCTAAACACCCCCTGAATCCGCCTCTGTATCTGATTTAAGATGACATACTTAGGATCATAAAATTGTAAACTTAGATATCTGCCGATGTCTGAGAATGTCAACGTAAGCTGTATCACGTTAGTACATTTGGCGTTATCAACTTAAAAAATATATAAACATTTTTTTTTTAATATTTATATTATTAGCGCTACTATGCGCAAGAAAAATTAAAATCGCGTATGTAGCCGTTGTGGAGATACATGTATAGTGCACTTAAATGTATTTTTTTATAAATTAATGCGTGTTGTCGGTTTTTGGTTCTTAAAAGAACCGTATGTCTGACGACGTTTCGGTAAAATCTCATGTACCATCTTTAGTTTTTATCTACTGGGCTGCTGTTGCTGCTCTGCTGCGAGTTCATACATATAACGCTAGTGGAAACCTAAAGCAGCAGAACAACAACAGCAGCCCAGCAAATAAGACCTTAAGAGGGTACATCAGATTGTACCGAAGCGTCTACAGACATACGGTTCTTTTAATAACCGAAAACCGACAACACGGAGCAGATTCCGGAAAACCATAAATGCATATAACGTCCGTGGAAACCTAAAGCAGAACATTGATCTTGTTAATTTGCGTGGCGTTTTGGTGGTTGTAAGAGCTGGTTTCCATGCAGTTGGTAGTCTCTGTGTATCGTCTCTTGTGTTGAGGTTTCTTGGTCCTGTGTTCGATGCTAGCCAAGACCCTTGTTTTTTCAAAGTCAATTTCAGATAAGGAAGATGTTTTTTATTGTTTGACTGCGTTACGATGTTCTTCGCGTCTATTGGTCTGTCGCACGTAGCTTCCGTCACAATTCTTACAGGAATTCTTAAGAAATTTTGTACACCCCTTGTGCCTCCAACTCTATTTTTGGTTTGGCATTTGGAAGTATTTGACCGATCTTTCTTGGGGCGGTAAATGTTGTCTCAATGTTATGTTTTTTGAGAACTTTTCCTATTCTCTCGGTTGTCCCTTTTACGTAGGGAAGGAAGGCCTTCAAAGTTGGTTTGTTTTTCTCGTCCTTTGTTGTATTTAACCGGCGTCGTGGTCTAAGAGCCTTTTTGATGATGGTTTTGGAGAATCCGTTTTGCTGTAGCGTCCCCAAGCAACAATTTAAGTATTTGTTACGTATATGGGACTATTGAAGAAACTTTAAAGTAAACATTCAATTTTCTTAGTTTCTTTAAGAAACTTTCTTGACCCATCACTGGTAATATTCATAAGAATATAAGAAAAAATTGAACCTACACCTCGCCAAAGTTTTTTGTTTTGAATGCGTTCCACCAACTTCAAATACCGACAGACAGCTGTTTCGACCTTTATTGGGTCTCATCAGTGTCGGGCAACTTGGTGTAGTGGAACACAATCAAAACAAATTACTCCCTCAGCTTATATGCTCGGTTGTTAAGTCAACAGAGGCGAGATGTAAGAACATCAGGTGATCCACACCGTCAAACGACGTGGCCTTTGCTGCAATCGGTACATACTATGCAACCGGGACTGCACACAGCAATTGTATCACAGATACTAATATGGCCTAAAGGAATCTAGAATTAACCCAAACGGGCTAAACATTAAGGTAAACATTCAATTTTCTTAGTTTCTTTAAGACCCAATAAAGGTCGAAACAGCTGTCTGTCGGTATTTGAAGTTGGTGGAACGCATTCAAAACAAAAAACTTTGGCGAGGTGTAGGTTCAAACTTTAAAGTGTTTTGCGACAGTCGCCGGTCTCTTTATATTACTCTTTCATTACTAAGTTACGACTAAAGTGGGGAACAATTATTGAGTTCCAAAAAGGTAGCAAATATGTCACTAGCTATAAACCCTGCTACTATATGGAACGTAGCTGCTACGTTACTAGAACGTTCCAATATCGTTGCTAGAGCGTTATAATTACTTTTATTATTTGTTTTTACTTCTATATTAACTGTCTTTGTCAAACTTATATTAGATTATACTATCCCTCCTTTTTTAAATGGAACCACTACGGACTTGGCTTTTCAATGTCGTCGTTTATTAAATATGTACTGGTAGTTTATAACTTCCAGAATAACAATATAATGTTTAATTAGACAGGTAAATTTATAAACCCTTTAAATTTTACTGTTGAACTTATGAATTTAGTTTTTGTAAAATAAATGCGCTTCATCAATGTTTAAGTATAAACAAATTATTTATTTAGTAATGTTTATAAATAAAAAAATCTTAATATTTATTATTTTTTTTTTTTATTTAATTATTAATACCGTTTATTACCAACAAAATTACTATTTATTAAAAAGTAAACAACCATTAACAAACAATTAAAATAATTTATTATTTACATTACCACGTGGTAGTGTACAGTAAAAAATGGCCGATAAGAAGCATTTTCCTTTGAAGTAGTTTTTGCTACTTTAAAGTTTTTTCCACTTTACGGTTGTTTTGGTTAGTACCATAAACGTTCCAAATACTAAAATGATAACTTTTAAGTTATTAACTTTGTAGTTTTTAACTCATGTTCCAGTTTCGAGATTTTAACTTGCAAAGGGACTACAAAGTAAAAATAATTATGATGTAATCTTTAGGTAGCAACCGAAAGTAACTGCTACAAATTAAATTTACTTGAAAGTTTTTTTTACTTATAACACCTTTTTTAAAGTTGCAAAGTCTTCTTGGGGGCAACCAAGTTTTACTTAAATGTTTATTACTTTATAGTAACCATTTAAGGAAAAATTAAGTTTCTGTTACAAAATATTGCTATTTAAAAGTTAGAATTACTTTTAAGTAAAAATTAAAGTAGCTGTTTAGTATACTTAAATAATTTAAAGTTATCACCACTTTGGCAATGGTTTTTGGAACCAAAAATGCTGCTTGGGTCGTTTGGATTTTCAGGTCTTCTTTTTTCTTGTGGTCATCATCCGCCTTTCAGATCGCGTGACAAGTGCCTTAATGATCAACTGCAGGTGTGACGGGTGGTGTTGAGACTGGGCGTGTGCCCTAGTTTGCCATTATTTTCTTGATTAAGAAGACATCCAGAAAAGGTAATTGGTGTTCTTTCTCGGTTTCCATTGTGAACTTAATCTTTTTGGGAATTCCGTTGAGATGGCCCAGGAATTTCTTCAGTTCCGCTTCTTCGTGGGTCCATATGATATATGTGTTTTCTACGTAACGTAGCCATAACTTTTAGTGTTGCCGTTTCGATTGCTCGTACTTCTATGTCTTCCATAAATAAGTTGGCTATTGCTGGCGATATTGGGAAATTAACTTTAAAAAAACAAGGGTCTTGCTAGCATCGAATACAGAACCAAACGTACCATTCGTGAAGCCATTGATAAAGAAAAATGTCCAAGAAACCTCAACACAAGAGGCGATACACAGAGACTAAGCTTACTATTGCGCATTAATTTATAAAAAAAAATACATTCAAGTGTATATCTCCACAACGGCTACATACGCGATTTTAATTTTTCTTGCAAAGTAAAGCTAATAATATCACTAGGTATTTAAAAGAAAAATGTTTGGAAGATTATATATTTTTTAAGTTGAAAACGCCAAATGTACCAACGTGGTATATAACTTAAATAGGAATACAGATTGCGATCAAAGCTTTCGAATTTTTTTACATATTAGCTTTATAAAATTTCTCTATTATCCAAATTAATGAGGAACTTAATTTAAAATAGTAATCATTTTATAAACGATGTTTACAAATAGGGTTTGGCCAGCAAAAGGGTTGGGTACAACTACTTACCTAGATTTATGAAACATGAAAATTTGATTAAAGAAAGAACAACTCTATCTTTAACTATAAGTTTTATTAAAATTATTTGTTTAAATCCTTATCAATCCCTGACAACCTACCTAGGCTAAAAACGCTTCGCCAATCCTAGGTTTGGGATATTTTTTAACCAAACGTATTGGCTAATTATCAAGGATTAAAATAAAATTGTGTTTCATATATTTTAGTAATAATTAAATAAATTTTATTTACAAATCTTACATTTACATTACCTACATCTATTTATTAAGCACATTCATTCTTAAAATCAATATCACTATATTATTTATCTACAGTTTTAATAGTTTAACAATTTCATTATAATTTTTATAAAACTCTTGTCTGTATCTAAATATCGAAACATCTTTTTTCTTAGGACTAGAAATATATTTAGCACACTCAGGCAATATCACAGTGGAGCAATTAGTTTTATAATGATTCATTTGTACTAAATTTCTTGAAAGAAAATGCGTTTTCCCAACCCCAGGTCTTAACACATCGAAAGCATAATGATTAAAAACAGTTAATGTGTTATTGGTTATTATAAAACTTTTACAAGATTCGCCGTTTTTACTTGGATTACTTCTATACATATTTTTAAAGAAATAAGGTTGTTCTTTTGAAAATTGTTGTTTTTTGGTAAAAAAGTAAGCATTTGAAACGCTAAATGATGCAAATTCACCTTTAAGTTGAGATTGACTTCTTAAAAGACTTTGCCAGCTTCTCGTTTTTAAAGGCACGATTATTTCATCTACGTCCAGTGGTATAATGTATGTGGACATTAAGTTTCGGTAAAAACAGTCATTATAGGCGATGATCTCATATCGTCGTTTCTGCCATAAATTCTTCACATACGCTTCAGATTTTTCGTTGTATGTTGGATGTGTGTCGTTTTGCTCATTGTTTGTTATTTCGCTAAATTGTTTTGTTGCTATTGTGTTGGGATACCTAAAATTAAAGTAGAAACAATGAGAAACTAGTATAAATTTGTTATTATTTAAAGAGCAACAGTAGCAAGTTGCTACTGTTGCTCTTTAATACAATGACAATACAAAATCGTAATATCGAAATTTAGGATTCATGTAACTCAGTGTAGGTGAGCTTCCAAAATATTTTCCCAAACAAAGAAATAGTAAAACAATAAAAAATATTACCAAACATCACTCGCTACTTACACATAATAAAATGATTAGGACTAGTAATGATAAACGACCAAAGACAAAGATGCAAATTAAATGAAGTCGTAAGGAATTATAAGCAAAAATAATAGCAAAAGTTGTTTATCATAACAGTAAAATTTACAATTTATAAAAGTGTGCATACCTAATTATAGCAGAAAATCGGTTACAATCACAATAACTAATAATTAGTGTCCGACCGAATGTCAGTTTTTGGCCGAAGCCGAAGCCGAAGGTTCGGCTCTTGTTGTAACCTTCGGCCGTAGCCGAAGCCGAAGGTTTAATAAAACTAAAAAAAAATGACTTGACTAAACTAAAAAAAATTATATAACAATATAAATAGTGAAGTGTTATTGCGTTTAGTATATTGTTAAAATATAAATAGGACATATCCAATAATTATAACCTTCGGCTTCGGCAAAAATCCTTCGGCTGATTTTGGCCGAAGCCGAATGTGCGACCGAATGTGGTTTTTTGGCCGAAGGTGGCCGAAGCCGAAGCTTCGGTCGGACACTACTAATAATGTAAAACATAAACAATTCTCACTAATATTTTTACGTTTAGATACAAAGAAGTGAAATTTTAAAACTCAATAGCTTTTTAAAACATAAAATAACTTAAAACTATAATGTTATTTTTAGTAGATTATTTTAATTTTCCTTGGTTAAAATATTGCCACATTTAAATTTAAAAGTTTATATACCACAGGACTCTTACAGTACCATTTAACAGAATATCCTTTTTCTATGGAATAAACATTAAAAAATATTCTAATAGTTTGGGTAGGTATAACCATTTTTTATAGAAATTCCAAATAAAAAAATGCAGAATCAATTTTTAAATTTAAATCATTTTTAAAATCGTATGTTATTTAATTGATTTTATCTACTCCTACATGGACGAGCTGTAACTTTATGGCGTTTTATTGACGGGCTGAAGTTAACAACAGTGGCTTTTCGACATTTTACGTCACGGGCTGAAGTTAGCTTTATTATAAATTGGGAAAAAGTGAGTTTAAATTCGGGTGACAGTTGACAGATGTCAAAATTTTAACAAATAAAATTGGCTTTAAATTCTGTTTTGTAGTCGTCGTAGATAAAGTATAGTATGCAACTCGTTTATAAACTTCTCTAGACACTCGTTTTTATTAAACACTCGCTCGCAAGCTTCGCTCGTGCTTAATTAAACTCGTAACTAAATAAAACTTGATACATAATATACTATTATAGCATCGGTGAGTTCTAAAAAATACCTATTAATTCTTCTTTATGCACAAACAATTGTTGTTTTATATGTCTTGTAATGACGTTTTCTATACATGTATTGTCTACAAAAATAAATATATTATTATTTTTTTTAGTTTTATAATCCTCCAATTCATCAGGTGAATCACCGGTGATACATAATATGAACATGAATATGAACATATATGTTCATATTGATTATAAGCAATATAATATAAGCAATTTTGATTATAAGCAATTATTTTCAATAAGCCTATTCCGAACTTTTCTATGGGGGATTTAAAAGAAAAAATGGTCGTTTTGAAAAAATCGACAAATGAGAAATTAAGTATGATGTAAAGCATACACATATGTACGGGACTTTCCAAGTTTGAACAAAATAGGCAGATGCCAGATAGTTGTAGGTTTGGCGCGTGTGGCCTTAAGTACCTATTTATGTTGCTACCTACTTTTCATCTTCAATATCACTGATATTACCTATATAAGCTATATCAGTAACTAACGCTTTAATAAAATCGAAAACGAACTTTCAACTTTGACACCCTTGGTTATTTTTAACTTTTGTATAAAAGTAAATTTAGTTATATTGCATTTTCTGTGGAATATGTGGTAACATTTTATATAGGAATTTCAGGTACTTTCCTTAGAAACCAACTTAAGCTAAATAACAATTTTTTTAATTCAAATATGTTTGATACATACCATTTTAACGTTTTTTTAACTCGATCATCAAGTTTTCCTATGTATAGCTCGATTTTTTCAGCTCCCAAAATCCTATTAATTTCAATCCACTGTATCAACCTTTTAGAAATATCTTCCTTAAAATTCAATGGCTTAACGCATACAGTAAACATCCTCTTTGGTAAATTTAGCGGTTCCAAATCATATTTTCTACTATTTACATTTATTTCACATGGTTGTGTTGTTAGTTTCACAAAAACTGGAATTAATCCAATCGGTATTCTACAAGATAATAATATGGGGTTGTAGTATACATTGGTTGAGTTTTGGTCCCATTTTTCGGACCATACGGGAGTAAATGTGGTTTTTGTGACAAAAACTGATCCATCCTTGCTGTATAATTGGCAAAATAGACTGGAATTTATAGACCCTAAAACAAAACAAAAAAAATTTAATTCTTTATGGGGTAATTGTAGATCAACAAAGTTCAAGGGTAATTTAAGTCCAAATAATAAAAAATAACTGTTAGAGAGTTTTACGGATTTATTTAATTTGAGTCGAATTATTTGACAATTGTTTCGCTATACATAATATTTTTGGGTTGATTTATTTCTTTTAACGTAGTATCCGTTTATATTGTTACATCAGGATTTTTCTAGCCATCATAAGAAAATTTCGGCAGGCCCTGCATATGTTTCAGAAATGACCTAGTTCCACGTACATCTTTTTCTGGCAAGCCATTTTTTTAATTTATGCATTTTTTTCATAAAACTGCGTTTATTCTACAATGTACGTGGCAATCATCTTGCCGATGTCTTTTTCATATCCAGTTTATTGTTCAAAATTAAAACCAATAAACCATCATAATATGCCACAGTGGGATTTATACGAAAAAAACATTACAAGTACTTGACCTTGGAGTTTTTGAGATCGCTGAATCGATTTTTGGGGGTAGGTAATGCTTTTTTTGCATAAGAAATTGAATGGTTAAAACATGTTCTAAAAAAATTACAGTTTAATTAAATTTGGATTATATATATATATATATATATATATATATATATATATACTTACATTATGTATAAATTTAAAAAATATGAACACCAATAACAGAGTTAAGTTTCAGTTAAGAGAAAAAATAATTAATTTTATATGCGTAGAAAGTAGAGGAAAAACTAATTCAAAAAACCTCTTTACGAAAATTAACAAAGTTGTTGAGCCTCTTAATCGCACAGCGAAAGGAAAGGCCAAACTCTAAGAACCTATAAAAAAGAAACCGAATGGCAGCTATACGATAACACCTGTCATAAAACTGATGAGCAAAGGGATATAAATCAAATTCTAGTATGAGCACCAAAGTAAAACGTCTTTATCACTACCTATAGAGAAAATAAAAGTTGGACCAATAGACCTTATTCAAGTTATTACAAGAATACAGGGACTGTTTTGCCGAAAACATCGCGGAATTAGAAAGTGCAAAATCTGCTGAAATGGAAATAGTTTTGGTAGATAATAGACTGTATCGAATGTCCATTAGTGAACAACAAAAGGTGAAAACAATAATTGGTGAACTATTGTAAAACGAAATCAAACGTGAATCCAATTCTCTATATGTGTTACTTGTGAAGAAAAACACTGGTGATGATAGAATGTGCATCGATTGTAGGAATTTAAACTCGATGACGGTTAAGGATCGTTACCCGTTACCACGCATAGACGACCAGTTGGATAGATTACTTAAATTACTTAGAAACAAAGGTCTTACTTTAAATGTTTCAAGATGTAGTTTTTTATACCAATCTGTAAACTATATGGGTTCCGAAATTTTGAATGGAACATTTAAACAAGGTCTTGCAAAGACAAAAGCTATTAAGTAGTTTCCAGTCCCAAAAAGCGTACACAACGCCCGCCAATTTATTAAACTAATAAAATAATGCAACAATCTCTCTAAAAATGAATGAGTCAAAAATAACTAGTTTTCAAAGTGAAAAGCAGTCATTAATAACTGTAGTTCACAGAAATTCGTATCCCGGACATTTAACAGCCAATTCTTATGTAAAATTGTCACTAGTAATACCACTAGAGGTCAAAAAATTTCCGGATTTAATTTGACCTCGTGTGGTATTCGGTAAGAAAATTCCACACCAAATTGTGTTTAAATAATTAAAATTTATTTTTTGATTTAACTTGACCTCGACTTGATTATTTAGTTACCATGGCAACTAAGTCAACCCCAACCTAAAAGTTATTTCAGTTTTGAAGCTGTCAAGCGGCACGACGTAAAAAAATGTGAAATTGTCTGCTGTAATGATCAATCATCGTGCAATGACTTATTTACCCGCATTATTAGAGGATTGTGGCTCCTACTTGAAGAAAGAAAATTTGTTTTGAATTGTTCACGAATATTTGCATCTTAACTATTCAAAACTCAAAGTGCTAAATGGAAAAAAGGTGAATAGAATAGTGTCTAAATATTATATATATTTCATTAGACATAGACATTTAATTTATTTCAAGTCCTGCATTTTCGCCATTAAGAAGAAAGGAGGTGTCCAACGAATATAGAAAACATCTAAACTTTGTAATGGAAATGTATCAAAATTATCATGTAAACAAATAAAAACCAGATTGTCAAAAAAATATTCTGTCATTATAAACGTCAAAAAAATTTCCAGTATAATTCGCTGTTGGGTACCCACGAGGAAAAAATTTCCACTAAAATTCAACCGTTGCCATGGTGATCTATCAAAAATACACGTTTTGATTGGTTAAAAATTACAGGTGTGGAATTTTCGTAAGTAATATCATAAGGGCATTTAATTTTTCCGAAAAGAATCGAAAAAACACGTTGCTAAGTAATATTTTAACAAAAAGCATGAGTGCTGGTGGCAACAAAAATCCGAGTCGAAGAGGAGGATTTTTGCACCTGCACGAATGCATTTTGTTAAAAAATATTACTTAGCATTGTGTTTTTTCGATTTTTTTCACAGGAAAAATTAGATGCCCGAATGGTATTTGACAAGACTATTTCATGAGTAACATTTAACAATTAAAATATAAATTGCAATTTTTGGTGACAACAGCTGTCAAGTTTTGCCGCGGGTAAACTCGAATAAACTGCTGACAGGTGCTGTCACACAGTTTTTTCACCTAGAAACCATTTGTAATTCAAAATTGCGCGTTTGTGATTGGTGGAAATTAAGACGAGGGAAATAGTCACCTAAATTCTAAAAGACCGTCAAAAATTATGAAAGTAGAGCAGTTTTTTAGATATAGGTAGTCAATTCCATATTATATGGAAAATTCACTATATCTCAAAAACTTTTCGACTTTTATAACTTTTTTCTTATATTCCATATAACTATTCCACAACAACCCCAGTAACTACGTGAAGGTCATTGCTGTCGACAGGATAAAGCCTTGGGCTAATCATGGACAAATATAAGATAAGACAAGCAGTGATAGCGGCGAAGATGATGTGGAACTGAGTTCTGATGATTCAGTATCCAACTAGAGAACAATTGCGAGTTTAAGTAGCTGGAGCGAGCACTTACGCTCATTGCACAACTCAGTACTGGAAGAAGTATGAGACGTACCGCGAGTTTAATCCCTTTACGTCAAAGGGTGATAACTAGGTAGAGATCACATCGCGTGTTTAATCTCCTCGTGACCTAATTGTTAGCTCCTAGTATCCACGCCTTGATTATGAACAAGCTAAATATAAAACAGCAATAAAATACAATGCGTGTTATATCCCTTTGTATTTTGGTGATGGTACAAATCGTTATTAAACTGATTAGTATTTAGCAGGGTTATGAGAGTGGACACGGATGTACGTCTTCTTTATTATAGGTAAACCAGATTATGCGCACTAAATGGAAAGTACCTCGACCATCAAGCAGACCACCCTGACACAAATGAGTTTGAATGAATATTTTTTTTTAAATTACTTTTAATTTTTCTGCGTTCCACAAGAATGATGGTTCAATTATTGACATAAAATTTTATTAAATAAACACAATGTCAAACAGATTATAATTTGTTGTAAACGTAACATAAAGTTATGCGGACCTGAATTAACATAAAATCTGGTTATTATTTGCTTAAAATTAACAAATATTTAGTTAATGTGTACAAAATTTGATTTTTGTTATCTCCGTTCAGTATTTTTAGGACAATTTCCTATTAGAGTTAGATGTTCAGGGTGCATATTTGCAAAATGACATTCAGTGATTACTATTTTTATAAAAATTATTTGCCCATCATTCCTAATATTTTTTTGTAGTTTTATTTATCTTTGCGTATTGTTATTTTTTTATTGAGATTTATGTTAATGTTATTTTTCCTTTAAAATTAGAATAAAATAAAAACCTCGTAATAGGTCCAAATTAAATAAAAGAAAAATTTATAAAACGTTTAATGAAACCGCTACCAAGATAATTAAAATACAGCGGGAACATTAAGTCGTTGTTACGCTAAATTGGTAGTAATTAGCAGCAATCTATCAAGTGTTGCGGCATAAGCCCATTTAAGTTATATGAAAATTTAATTAATTTTGAATTCCTTTCCAGCATGCGGCTACGGGTTACACATTGAGAATATTAAGAATTCTGAATACATTAATATGTAATACATGGGTAATTTAAATATCCGTGTTCTTCACAGAGAAAAGTAATCTCTTGATTTAAGAAAATGCATTTATTTGAAACAGGTTTTCTTGTATGAAGTAAAATTTTTTTATTCGTAGTAACTTGTTGTTTACAATAAGAAAATACTATTATTTGGTTGTAAATCATAAATTTCTTAAAAACAACTTATTGTTGTGATTAATTTTAAAGAAATATTTATTTAGAGCAATTAATTAAATTGATTGGATGAAGGTTTTGTTTTGTTAAGTAAGCTTCTACTAAACCTGAGATAAAAAGTTAACTAGATATTTACTAGTATTAACCAAATATCAGTTTAAAAAGTCAAATAAACCCAAGTTTTCCACTAAATAAATATCTTCTTGTAGATATCGAAATAAATAATTTATTTGAGCCAAGCCAAATAGAGCAAAATCAAGAGATTACTTTTCTCTGTGTAGACTCTGGAATCTAGAGTATACGAGTATTCGCAATTAATTTTAGTTTTAAATTTTCAGAAAAAATTTACGCAGCTCATTCATGTCTTTGGTTCTTTCGTCATTCTCACTCACCATAGTTTAATTTTGTACACTAGGTAGGTAAATAAAAATTAAGTATAAGTTAGTTGATCAAAGAAAAACTATAAAACACTTCATGGCCTATTTAAAGTAACTAAACTTAATTGCTGAAACTTGATTAATTTATTCGGAGATGAAATAAACAATCATTAAATAGTTTTGCTTATCAAAAAACACTAATTCAACAACAAAAATTACACGTACCAAATTTTTCAAAGGTTTACTAA